CTCCGTGGCGTTCATGGGGTTCGTCAACCCACTATATCCGTCCACCAGCGTATGCGCGGGTCCAGGTCGCCTAAGGCAGGAGTGTAAGCCTGAGCCACTTGCACTAGCGGACAAGCTGGCTGTAGCCTGCGGGTCTGTTCTTCGACCTCATCATCCCTTGGCCCGGCAGGACTGCGGGACCACGGAGCCGGTGGAAACGATCTGGTAGAGCTGGTTCTCGTCCTCACCGGTTCCGGTGCTCTTGACGGGGTACCCCTGACAGTCCATCGTTCCCTGTTTGCTGCTCTTCGTGCTTCCTCTGTCGATCTCGCCCTTCTCCTTCTCCTTGGTGAAGGGGATCGACCTCTTTTCCTTCGCTGCATGAGGGCCAGGAGGTCCGTGTCCTCGTACCCGTTCTCGTCCTCTCTGCTCTCCTCAACATTGCCCTTGTCCCTGGTCTCCCCATCCTCAAACTTTGTGCTCCACATTCTCCCCTGTCATCCATTCCGGGGCAGGAAACTCAGTGCTGCCGGATAGTCGCCTGACGCCAGCTGCCGATGCTCCCTCGTCCACAATGACATCCTTTACCTTGGGCCACTGCTGATTTCTGGGTGAGGTAGTTCCACCATCTTGCATGTTGAGATACAATGAGTCCACGTCTCGTATGATCATTGAAGAGGGGTGCATCTGGCCATCTTCTTGGAAGCGGCTTTCAGCACACATCACATAGTTCACGTAGGCAAAAAGGGCCGGAAGCTTCCACGCCATGGCAGGTGAGCAACCGGTCGTGGTATTGCGAGGTAGAGCGCTAATCACCACTGGAACCAGCAGGTCATCCACGCACATCATCACTCAACCACGAGCTGCACACTCAAGCAGGACATGTTCTATACATGCTTCACCAATAATCCCTGTCACGCACACATTCACGGACTGCTTCACTCAATGTTCGTCAGCGCGAGTTGCCTGCCTGACGACCAAGCAACGCTGGTCTGCTCACACCATGTTTTCTTGTACCCATCCCACTTTCCCCTTTGCATTGCAACCTCCCTCCATGACGTGGTCTTAGTCTTAGTTGTCTTGTGAGACCCGCCGCTCACAATTCATGAGATGAGGAAAATGTCTACCATGCCTCTTTCCCGTTCCCAATTGCTGTTGTTCCTGCCACCATGGCAGCCCCCTATACCACGTAAGCTTGTTGGCGGCTGAAGGGCAGTCTCTTTCGATCCCCCTGGTGCGGTGACCTACAAACTCCCAGTAGGCTGCCACATGTGTGTCTCCCCACCGCTTGCCATCATGCTTGTAGATCATCGCCCTTGCCAGTCGTAACGACCTAGCTTCAATGTCCACCCACAATTCATTCGCCTTCCTGCCGATTTTCATCATCCTTCTGACACAGTTGCATTGGAAGAAGTTAAGGATGCTCTGGAGCTGCGGTGTCGGAAACAGTGCCCCAATGATCCATCTGAAAACCCCAAATACGACCGTGTTCAACAGCTTGAGTCGGCAACCAAGCGCCGCCTTAGCCTGCAGGATGTGTAGGATACCGAAGAACTTCTCCCTTGCCTTATCGATAAGGTGCTCGAGGACCCTGACTTCCGTAGATTCACGACCGATAGGAAGATTCATAACAAACATGACGTCACTGTCTTGTTGGGGCAGAAGGGGCAAGCCATCGAGGATGAGGGGAACGTTTTTCGGGCCTTTGATGCACACAAGAACACACTTGGCGGGCTGAATGAATGTGAAGCCCATAGAAAGCAAGGCTCGGAAGTAGCTTGTTCATGAGTGCCTGGAGTGCCGGGATGGATGCCTTCCACGCAAGTACATCGTCCATAAAACATGCGCCGTCCACTGGGATACCCTCGAGAACCGGCCCCACAGTTTCATGTTGGATGTGTGACAAGACATCGTCCAGCAACTTCGCAAAGAGCAATGGCGACTCAGTGGCCCCCTGCTTAACTCCCACGTTTGCGTCTATGGCATGTTCTCCCCAATGTAGAGACAGAACAACTTCCCGGCTCATGAGCATCCTGAGTAGACATTTCACCTCAAGACGGAAGCTACCATTCGCCCACTGGATCACCTTCTGCGCCAACCTATACCGGGATACAGTGTCGAACGCCTTCCTGATGTCCAGTTTGAGCATATAAGCATCTTGTTTCCATTCTTTGGCGAGATGAACTACCTGCAATGCCGACCAGAGGAATTCAGCTGGTTGGCGGCCTCTGGCAGCGAACTGCTTGTCCCCTGTGACTGCGAGCACTCCTTGAAGCCTAGCAAGGATAGCCCTGGCGAAGGCCTTGCTAATATGGGAGGCCAGGGCAATCGGCCGCAAGTCCTTGGGGCACAAGGGGGGAACCACCTTGGGCAGGAGGGTTGCCACGCTTTTGTCCCAGTCACGGGTTATCTGTCCAGAGCGAAGAATGCCGTTGAAGAACTGGGTAATCGCCATAAGGGAGGTGGGGTCTTGGGTTAGGGCCTGCAGAATCTCAGTTGGCCCCATCTGGGCCTACCGCCTTCCCTCTCTTCCCCTTCCCAATTGCCTTAGCCACCTCATCCACCGTGAACATTTCCCCTTCCGCAACCCCTTCCACAGATTGTATGAGCTCCTCCATCTTCTTCATTTCTTGCTCTTCCTCTACTCCGTGAAAGACAGACTCAAAGTGGGTCTTAATTTGGTCAACGGGGTCCTCCGCCTCCACATGGCCATGTACAGCCCCAATGCCTTTTGGGTTTAGTAATGGCTTTGTAGAGTCCCCAGTCGGACTTCGCCTTTTCGATCCGCTGCTCCATCCAGCCTTGTTTCTCCTTCCTCAGCTCCACGCGGTACTTTTTCCACTCTTCAGCCGTTTTCCGAATTTGGCCCCGAGAGAGAGTGGCTTAGTGTGTTTCTTGGCAAGTCCCACGAGTCTCTGCTGGTCAATAAAATGCTGGGGAGGGGGAGGGGAGGAGACAACCCTAGGGCCCCCCACGCGAGCAGCCCCCTTCTTGAGACCCTTCCCCTCCTCCCTGCACGCCCAAGAGCATTTCCGCCGTATCATGGTCTGTGCCAAGCTCATGCCTGCTGTCAGCTTGAATGGTCAACGGGATACATGCCCCCCCGACAAGAAGGCCCCATCAATCTGAGTGCTGGAGATGGTTCGTTCGCGCGAGTGAAAGGTGGCAAGGTGCATCTGCTCTGGTCTCGGCACTGCCTGCATCAGCCCTTCTTCCATCATACCCTGCCTTACAGTCGCCCATTTTGGTGTGATGACCCCCGGAACCACCTCACCATCCACCCCCCTCCACGCAAACTGCTTTAGGATTTAGGGTTTTGGGTTTAGGATATGGGGTTTGGTTGGGATTTGGGATTTAGGATTTAGGATTTTGTTGAAGCAAGCGGACTTTTACGCCTGCAGGAACACTGGTTCAGCCAAATGTTTGGCAGGGAAAACACATTACGTCACCGCCACGGTTCTTTCGAGAAACCAGGAAGGTCTCACAGGACCAACATCCAAGTTTGCGTGACTCACATTTCATCACGGCTCATCATATTTGGACGGAACCAAATCAGCAGATCGTGGGTACTATTAGGCGCAGATTCTCTAGCAATTTCCACTCTGTGCCCAGGTGGCGCTCCAATCCTAACATTAGGCCCATCAGTACTTGATGATGCATGTTCTCGACCCTCATCACGTTCCTTGTTGCCACCGATCTTGAGCCTTTTCTGATCCGGAGGACAAGGATCGCTTTGAAGGGAGCGATCTGGCTGATCCACATCCAACGACTCCGGCTCCACACGAGAAGGAAGCAACCAACAGGCACGGCCATGTATGAAGATATCGATCGTCTGATCATAGTAGGAAGGTTTGAGTCTGCAACCAAAACTCTCCGCCAGGCACAAAGTTACGGCATACGGTCCTTCGTCAGTAAGCATCACAAACTTGGTACTGCTCAGTATTCAACCGATAACTGTCTACAGCTCGACCACTGCACGTCTTTGAGTAGGATCCACTGCTGTTCTTTCTCTGCCCATTTCGTTCTATCCAAGGTCGCTTGTACCCAAAGTGTCCCCACACATTGTTGTATCTCGCGCTGTTGTCCCATGAGCTGCGGGTTTAGGATTTAGGGCTGAAGGTTCATGGTTGAGGATTTAGAGTTGAAGGTTGAATAGTTTAATGCTTAGGACTGAAGGATTTATTGTAAGATTGAAGGTTTAGGGTTTAGGATTTGAAGCTAAGGTTGAGGGTTAAGGTTGATGGTTTAGGTTTATCCTTGATTGAAAACTCTGAGGAGGACTGGCTTGAGATCATCTCAGGCAGATTGGCCACTATGGAGGGCAGTGCTTCGGCTTGAAATAAACGGGCTTCGGCATGCTTCTAAGAAATAAGCCAGTGGGCCCCAAAATCATAACACATTAAGCAATTTCTTCCAAACAATGGCCAGACTCTGAATAAGCGGCGGCGAAAACACATTAGTTACGGTCTCTTCATTAAAGCCAATGCAAAAGTACAACTCACTGAAGTCAGTACAGCTCCTCGTGCTGCCAGTGTTGCTGTGCTGAGTCCAGCACCGCCGTAAACGACATGCCGTGTCCAGCTCCAGTCAATTGCCAGTCGTGTGCCAAAGCAGCTTCCTCCAAAGCACTTCCATGTCACTTGTACTTGCGGGCAAACACCATGCTTTCTCTGTGAGGTCAAGAGCGGGAGAAACGAAGTCTGAAGATCTCCCTTCTTCAGGCAGTCTGTGTAGACAACAGCAATAAGCAGCTGCAACAACACCGTTGGCAGCCCAAACCAAGTGGCGGTCATGCGCCGGTTCATATCTGCTTCGTCGCCGCAGAGCAAGCCTGTATGAGGCCGCACAGCGCACCCGGTCTCCCGTATCGCATCTGGAGGGGCAGTTGAACGCATGGCCGTGAGGTGAGCACAGCAACTCGAGAAACCAAAACGAGGGGAAACAACAAGATGTGCTCGGGCCGAGACCAAAAAAAAACAGCATATACTTGGTACAAGGGGCGTGGTGGCTGAGGCGGAGGCTTCGTCGGTCTCGGCCTCCTCTTTTTCATCATCCTTTGGGTGGTTTGGCTTTGCTACTTTCAAGCGTGCGGCCCGTCAGGCCTCAATGATCTCCACCTCTTGCGTGTCCTTTTCAGCATGCTTCCATGCTCTCGAGACTCTCGAGACACTGCTTCAAAATCCGTGCTCCTGAGGCCCGTCCAGCTCGACATCCTGCCTGCCCACTGAGTCAACCTTCTCAGTAGCTTCGGCAGCTTTGGCCACTTCAGCTTGCTCAGCATCTTCCGGACTCGCGTCCTGGACGAGCTCCATTGCAAATGCACAAATGCAAATGGGGTGTGGCTCTGTCTCCATGTGTCGCATTTGTTTTGCTCTGTTGCCCCTACGTGCCTGCAAGGCCTACTTGCAAGGATATTTTCTCAAAGCTTTCATAAGTTCAAGGCGTGCTCCTGGGAGTTTGCGTTCTGCGGTATGCGGTTTAGAGCTTTCGTTTGGGGTTCTAAGGCGTTCGAGCTAGACCCCACTAATCAGGAGCACGTATTCCAGGTCTTGAGAACTTGTGTAAGGCTGTCAGCTTTTAGGTCTAGGGAGGCCGCTCAGAATCGTGACCTCAAGCCTTGATGTAACTTCGCGCTTTTGGGATTGTGCCAGATTTATTGTCTTTTGGCGCGTGTATAGCTAGCTAGGGCTAGGGTTTGTAGCGTTCTGTACTGGAGCCTTCAACACGCAGATCGCACACAGCTTAGGATTAAACCCGATTTGTGTAAGGACTTAGGGGGGTTGAGGGTAACAGGTTGAGGAAAAAAACTTCAAGGCTGAGGCTGTTTGGAAAGAAGGGAGAAGCGAAAAAGCGAGCCACACAACTGTCCAACACAACTTTGTTTAAAAGACAATTTCAGCATTTCAAATTCTCCCGACCCAACTCTTGACGGCTCCTCCTTGGTGCTCTTGGCCTCTGGCTTGGCATCCTGTGCTCAAAGCGCTGTGCTGCATGCAGGTGTTGACAGCTCTGAGCCCCGGGCTGCTGCAGTCTTCGCCTGGCATGCCAGGAAGCACCCACGGCGCAGACATCAGTCGCAATCCCCACTTCAACACAGCGAACCCTTCACCAGGGCCGCTGTATACAACAAGAACCCAGACCGATAGCAGTCTGTTCAAGCAAGTAGGATGTGAAGCCCTGGCAAAAGATCCTAGTCACGCAAAGTCTTCAACGTATTACAGAGTACCACAATGCGCGTCTTGGCACCTCCATGCACAAGCGTGAGAATCCAGACCGTTCTGAAGGCGCAAGAAATGGAGGCAGCGGCTTGCAGACAGAATGACAGGGGGAGCTCTACGCTGTGAGGTCTGGCTGAAAAGTAACATATTCTTCTACTGCTAGCAGCCACTGGAAAGTGCTCTGAGAGGCGCAAGCCGTCTCTCTGAGTTGCTGAGGGGGCATTTGGCAATTCAGCAATCTCGGGTCGCTTTGTGCCTGTCATTGCTGAGCAGCCCACGGTTCCTCCCCTTTCAGGGCTAGGGCCAGGGCCCGGGGCGCGCTTTGGACTTTGCATTGTCATTTGCATTGAAGCGCAGCTCAAATGCTTGGCTCTGCTCTTCGAGCCCGGGCCATTGTCCATAGTCCAAGGCAAGGGGCCAACGCAGAACACACAACAAGAACTTATGAAGCAAGGCACAAGAAAGGAAGGGCAAGACGCAGGGGCCAAGGCACTGAGCAAGTGCTGGCAAGTTCAAAACAACCAGAAAAATCCAGAACTGACAGGCCCAGGCTGCCGAGTCTGCCGAGTCTGCCGAGGCGGACTCGAAGACATGCGTGTTCTCCGCCTCCCTGTCTCCGTCGTCCTCCACAAGCTCCATGCTTCATTCCAGCACACATCCTGCCTATCACACCTCGATGATTTCGATCTCTTCCGCATCCTGGCATGGGCATCTGCCATGCTCGATACATGATGGGACACTGACGTCTGACCACAAGTGCCAGCCCGCTCCTCAGGCCCGAGAGGTGCGACATCCACAACGCCAAATGTCGCCTCAACCTTCTCAGCAGCCTTGCCCTCGGCAGCTTCAGCTGCTTCGGCACCTTCAGCTGCTTCGGCAGCTTCAGCTGCTTCGGGAGCTTCAGCTGCTTCGGCGGCTTCGGCGTGTGCAGCATCTTGGGGACACACATCCTGGACGAGCTACGCGCGAAGCGCATGCAGAAGTATAAGTACAAGTCTTGACAGCTCCTCCTTGGTGCTCTTGGCCTCTGGCTTGGCATCCTGTGCTCAAAGCGCTGTGCTGCATGCAGGTGTTGACAGCTCTGAGCCCCGGGCTGCTGCAGTCTTCGCCTGGCATGCCAGGAAGCACCCAC